AAAAAAAAAAAAAAATGAAAATCAACCTTCTGAATGTATGAAGACATTGGCCAATGATATACCTGATAAAGGGTCAATATCCAAAATATATAAGAAATTCACACAACTTAACACACACAGAAAATCCAATTTAAAAATGGGCAGAGGACCTAAATAGACACTTCTCCAAAGGAGACATACAGATGGCCAATAGACACATGAAAAGATGCTCAGCGTCACTAATCATCAAGGAAATGTAAATTAAAACCATAATGAGATATTAATTCACACCTGTCAGAATTGCCAACATCAATAGATCAACAACACAATGGAAAACAGTTTGGAGGTTCCTCAAAAAATTAAAAATACATGGGTCTTGCCAGTATCATGCTAAGTGAAATTACTCAAACAGAAAAAGAACCATATAGTTTCACTCACATGTGCGATATAAAACTGAAAGCAACAAATGAACAAACAAGAAATACAAACAAACAAAAATTCATAGACACAGGCAACATTATGGTGTTTACCACAGGGAAGGGGGTATAGTAAAGGGGGTAAAATACATAGTGATGGAAGAAGATTTGACTTGGGGTGGTGGGCACACAATGCAACACACAGATAATGTATCATAGAATTGTACACTTGAAACCTATATAATTTTATTAAGCAATATCACCCCAATAAATGTAATAAAAAATAAATTAAATTAAATAATAGAATTACCATATGGTCATCATTTCCACTTCTGGGTATATTGATCCAAAGAAATCCAAAACAGTAATTTGAAAATATACTTGCATGCCTATGTTCATTTCAACATTATGTACAATAGCCAAGATATGGAAGGTACCTACGTGTCCATTGACAAATAAATGACTAAAGATATGTGGAATCTAAAGAACAAAATAAACTAATGAACAAAATAGAACCAGTAACATAGAAGCATGGAACAGACACGAATCTCACAGGGAAGGCGGGGGTAGGTGGGTGGCTTGAGATTAACCAACGAATTTATATGCATAACCCCTGGACACAGATAATAGTGTGGTGAAGGCCTGGGGGGGGGTGTGCAGGGTGAAGGGGATCAATGGGGGAAAAGTGGGGAAATTTGAATACTTTCAACAATAAAGANTAATACTTTCAACAGTAAAGATAAAACTTTTTTTAAAACGATGAGTTACATATATACAATGGAATATGGAATATTACTCAGGAATAAAAATATAAAATAAAATCTTGCCATTTGCTACAACATGGGTGGACCTAGAAAGTGTTGTGGAAAGTGGCGGGTGCCTGAGGGGAGGGAGGGGAGTGTGACTACATAAAGAAGGTGAAGGGATTCACTAAGGAACATAGATGCATACTGCACGGACACAGAAAATAGTTTACTGAAGGCCAAGGGAGGGGGGAGACAGTGGTAGGTGGAGGTTAGCAAAGACGGAGAGGGATGGGGGACAGCTGCAATATATCAACATTAAAAATTTTTAATTAGCAAAAATAATGAATAAATAAATGTTAAAAAATAAGTGAAATAATTCACACAAATACAAATACCATATGATTTCACTTACAAGTGGAATCTAAAAAAATAAATAAACAAAACAGAAACACACTCTTAGATACAGAAAAGAAATTGATGGTTGCCAGTTTGGAGGGAGGGAAAAAATGAGTTTAAAGTGGGTTGGGATTACAATGTACAAATTGCCAGTTAAAAAAACAGCAACCATAGGGATATAAACTACCGCATAGGTGTGAAACTTGAGAAAGAAGATACGCACTAAAAAGGGTTCCTGTTGGCTAACTAGGCACAGATTTTAAAAAACAGAGCCTAGCAGCCATTTCTACACAGGGACCTCTCATGCAAACTGCACTTCAGAGGGAAGTCTGAACTTAACCTGCATGAATTGTGATTCTACCATCTGAGCCAGCCCTTATAAAGGAGTTCTTGGAATCCCCTTTCAACCCAGAGCTGTGCAGCTCTGACCAACCAGTGTGGCTCTATTCTGACCAATGAGCACAATGCCTTTTGGACCAATCAAACTGCAAGGATTTGGAATCCTCATTTGCATGAGGATGGAATAATCAGGGACCAAGGGAGACCATTTCTGTCTACATAAGCCAGCTCCCCTCTGGCTCAGGAAGCACATTCCTTTTCCAGGGAAGACTGAAGACTGTGTTTCCCTGGCTGAACTGAAAAACCTAAAATGTCTTGCTGGAGCAGAGCCGACTTGCATAGGCCAGAGCAGACTGGCACAGAATGCAGCAGACCAAAGCCCAGTGGAACACAGTGCAGTGCAATGAGACTGGCAAGGAGCAGAGCAAAGAAGAGCCGACAAGCTGGAGAGGGGCCTGGCCCCAGGGCTGCCTCACAGCTGTGCTGTTTTCACAGCTGTGCTGTACTACAGTTGAGCTGTTTGGCACTGAATAAAGTTTTCTTCTTCACTGCACCCCAAATTGGGGATTCCAGTTGGTGTTGAATTGATGCCAAAAAACATTGGTTGACATAGGGAACATAGTAATATTGTAATAATTATGTATGGTATCACATGGGTACTTGACTTATGAGAGGGGATTACTTGGTACGTTATATAAATGTCTAATCACTATTTTGTACACATGAAAATAATGTAAGATTGTATGTTAACAGTAACTGGGAAACTCAAACAAACTTTGGAAATAATATACATATATAAAAGCTTAAATTAAACAATTGGAAATGTATAGTTTTCAAATATACATGAAAGTTTTATAACTACTGACTCATATTAGGCCAAAAAACAGGTCTTTGGATATAAAACATAGTATCATGTAGATCACATTTTCCACCACAGTGCAGTTAAGTTATAGTAGACTTGATAAGTATTTTGACAATGTTATTTTTACTTAGAAGGATAACTAGACTGTGGTGATATAAGATAATAATCTTGTTCTACATAAATTTACACTGGAAAAAAATTAAGCTCCATGATGCTATTTACAACTTGCAAATGGAGAGAGCACAAGTGATAATGGGATACCATATTTATAAATCTAAGTAGAGAGAATATAGGTGTTCTTTGTGTTAATCTAATCTTTGTAACTTTTTAACCTCTTAAAAGTGAAGATAAAGATAACTTAGATGAACAAAAGCTGAAGATAATTCAACAGGCTACACGGAAATATCAGAAACAAAGAACCAGAAGAAAAATAAATTGTTTTGGAAATGGTAAATATGTGAAAAAAAATGAAATACTTTTTTTATTTCCTTAAATTTTTTATACATGCCACAACTGAAAGTTCAATTTCAAGTAATTTATTTTGTGGTATATAATGCATGGAGGAGTAAAATATAATAACATCACAAAGGTGCTAAATGGAACTTTATTGTTGTAAAGGCTTTACATTATATATGAAGGGTTGTAACTAATTCTACATCATGATAAGTAAGGAATATTCATTGGAACCTCTAGAGCAGGGATAGGGAACCGTTTTTCTGCCAAGGGCCATCTGGATATTTATAACATCATTTACTCCTAGATTTAGTGAATTTTGAGTCCCATCTGCAGTTGCCTTGGCAGGGCCAGATGAAATGATTTTGTGGTCCCTATATGGCCTGTGGGCTGGAAGTTCCCCACTCCTGCTGTAGAGAAACCACTGGTTTGAGGGGTGGGAATGAAAAGCTTTAGTAGAAAACAAACGAGAGAGAAAAATAAATGCTAAAATAACCCACTAATCCAAGTGTAGCAAAGGAGGAACAAAGTAGTAAACAATGGATTGAACAAAGAGAACACTAGTAGGAGAGTAGTACTTCACCTATACCCATAGGTATCAGCACTTTTAATAAACATAAATCAACTAAATCTTCTAATGAAAAGGCAGGGATTATCTGATGGGGTAGAGAAAAAATACCTATCAATAGGCTGTTTACAGAATCATACTTTAAAATTAAAGACAGATAACTTGAACACAAAAAGAGGGATATTATTTTAAAAAAACAAACACAAAACTCTTCAGAGGTTTTTTTGCAGGATAATATTTGCATTCAAAATGCCTTCTCTTGTTATTGGAACAGTAAGAAGGCATATAGCTACTGGAAACAGGAAAGTAAGCTGTCTAGATTTAATTTTAGCAACCTCTTGGGGTGGCTGTGGTATAGCATAATTCCAATGCCTATGATCCTGGTTTGGGTGCCAAATAGTATTATTCCCATGTAACAACAACAATAAAAATCTAAATGCCTTCAAAGGGGGTTAGCTCATAAAACAGATTAAATTATATTAAATATATTGATTGGACAATATATAAACATTAATATTAAATTGAAGTAACACATCAATAACGCATAAAATAGTTTACAAAATAGCATGTATAAAACAAAGGTATTTGAGCCCTGGGAAGTCTGGCTCAGAGGTTGGAGCACTGGTCCCTGGACTGAAGGGTCCTGAGTTCCATTCCCTGGCCATAGTCAGGGCGCGTGCAGGAGGCAACGAGTTGGTGTGTTTCTCTCACATCAATGTTTCTCTCTCTCTCTCTCAGAAAAGGTAATGGAAAATATATCCTCGAGTGAGGATTAAAAAATAAAATAAAGCAAAGGTACAAAAATATACACACTGCGTGTATTATTAAAAGAGGAAAACATATGCATGTAATTTATCTCCTGGAAAATAAAATTATACCTACTTGTTCTTCATTATTTTGTCCATCTATTCTTCCCTATTACTGTTTTTATTAAACATTATTTAAAGCTCTTAATGTTTCCTTTTATGAACAAAATATAGAACAGTATGGCAGTCATTGAGAGATCTCATGGAAAAATATCAGTGATAAATGGACAAATCAGATGTTTTTACTTCCTATCCATATGACTTTGTGAAAAATTTCCATAACTAAATGAACATTCCTATGAATAAGTCTTCCTGTCATTCACATCTAGAACTTCCACAGGGGAACCCAAATGTTTATAAAGCATAAAATAATCTTATAAAAGAAAATACTCAATAACAAGGATCACCAATTGAGTATTACATGAAATAGCTTGTTTTAAAACAGAAATCAATTTAAGAAAGAAAATTTCACCACAATTTGTGGTGGATTCAGAAATATCTGCAGCTAGTTATAATCCAATAGATTATAGTGTAGTAGAAGCCTTCCAGACATACAAGTTATACATTGTTACTAGAATTCTATACTGATTTAGATGTCAATACCGTAAATACTGGTCCCCTATTTCAATGAAGAGGAGATTGACATTTCTTTATGCCCTGCTGTACTGAGGTACATATTTTGAACACAGTAAAATATATCTGTACTGCAAAGAAAGCATGTTTCTTTTTCTTATTCCCTCTGCATTTAAACACAAAACAAAGATATAATGAAACGTATCAATAATGCATACCAAGGCTTTATCCATAATGACTTGTATTTTCAGAGTTCTTTTCAATAGTGCAACATCTGATTTTTTCTGTGAAACGGGACATGAATTAAATAAAACATTTTTAAAATTATTATATTGTTTGTAATTATGTACATTACATACATACACACAGAGAGGTATAGATGAATAGATAGATAAATACAGATACATAAAGATACAGATAATAGGAAAATAAGAGGATGGATGCTAAGTAAATAAGCAGGTGAGCTTCCAAACAAATATTTTAGGAACAAGTCAGAAGCTTTTACTTTATATTTTTTATAATTAGAATCCTCAGAAAAAGTTACTGCAATGAGGGAGAAGTCATATTTCCTTCCTCTCGAAACGTTCCTCTAGGTTCCTCTCCCAACCTTCAAGCTAACAGACTCCCATCAACTTTCCACCAAGCACTGCCTCTATTTTCTCATTATTTTTATACTTCTAATTATTTATATTAACTTTATTGTGGCTGACACCCAATAAAATGCATCCAGTTTAAGTACACAGTTATATGCATTGGTATTAATGTATACAGCCATGTAACTATTCCATAAGTAAGACAAAGAATGATCCCATTACCCTCTTCCAAGTCAATAGCCTACATGGCTCAAGGAAACCAATGATCTGCTTTTTTCAACATAGGTTACAACGATCTATTCTAGAATTTCATATAAATAGAATTATATGGCATGTACTCATTTCTATCTGGTTTCTTTCATTCTGCATTCATATGTGTTATGATTATTAGTAATTCATTAATTTTGCTCTAAGTAGTGTGCTATTGAAGATATACATTGCAACTTGTTTATACATTTACCTGTTGATCATTTGGCTTATGCAGACAGTTTAGCTATTATAAATAAAGCTGTTATAAATATTAATATTTATACAGGTCTTTGTGCAGTTTTTTCTTTCATTTTTCTTGGTACTTAGAAATGGAATACCTGAGTCATATAACAATTGTGGGTGTGTAAAGTGATCCGAAAGTGCCAGATTGTTTGCTAAAGTCATTTGATCATTCTGCATTTTCACCAAGAATTAAGTGCCAATGGTTTCACATTGTTGCCTACATTTGGTAATGGTATTAATTCTAGAATCGTTGAAAGATTTTGAAAAACAGGTTATATGTAAAACTCTTAAAACAATACGCGGCACCTATCAGGCAGTATTTGAATATAAAATAATATCAACAGTGGCTTTCATTCGCTTTAAATTCTGTATTTTCCTACATTGTTTGAATTTATATTCATCTATATGGGCCATGTTTATTTCCTTCTGATTATAGTTTATATTTTAGAATACATGGAGTTCCTTCAAGTTAAACCTTTCTTGAACAAAGAAAGATTAGTGACATATTATACTTTGGGTTACAGTATAAGAAATGGCCACTTATCCAAGAATGATATTTGCTCCATCTCCAAGAGAAGAGATGTCAATGAGAACAGCTGTCCTAGCTCACATGTATCAATGTGGAGAACTACTCTTTTCCCTTTACTTCTGACTAGATTCATGTAGTCTAGTGGGGAACTCTTAGGGACCTTGAGTCAAAGCCAGGAAAGGAATCAACCAGAATTTTATTCACCTTGGTCTCTGCACTAAAAAGACATGAGCCACCTGCCCCGGCATGGCTTAGTGGTTGAGCATTGACCTAGGATCTGGGCGATTGGGGTTCGATTCCCGGTCAGGGCACATGCTCGGGTTGCAGTCTCAATCCCTAGTTGGGGGCGTGCAGGAGGCAGCCAATCAATGACTCTCTCACCATTGATTTTTCTCTCTCTCTCTCCCTCTCCTTTCCTCTCTCTGAAATCAATAAAGATATATTTAAAAAAATAAAAAAATAAAGACATGAGCTTTAAGTTACACACTGAGAGCTGGACATTGTTTGCTTAAAAATGTAGTGGTATTTGACCCAACAGTGATTTTCATGAACAATACAGATTGAGGGCAGCTGCTTACACAGTTGTTCTACCTTTTCACTTTGTTAAAAGTTCACTGTATTTGGCAACTATTCTTTGTAAATTTGGTTGTGATTGTGGCTGGCTACTGCTCTCCTTCATGATGACATTAGAATATTTACTTTTAAGTTTATCTGTGGTTTATTTGTTTTATACATTAGGAAGGACAGACATTTCACATTAGGGAGGAAAGAGTGGTTTCAATTTTAAAAAACTGCAATTATGGCCCAGCCGGGCGAGGCTCAGTGGTTGAGCCTGGACCTAGGATCCAGGCGATCGGGGTTCGATTCCTGGTCAGGGAACATGCCCGAGTTGCAGGCTGCAACAAATCAATGACTCTCTCATCATTGATGTTTCTATCTCTCTCTCTCCCTCTCCCTTCCTTTCTCTGAAATCAATAGAGATATATTTTTAAAAATAAAATAAAAAATAAATAAAAAATAAAAAATCGCAATTATGTAGTTCTGGCCGGGTACAGAATTACAGGCTGGAAATTACTTTGACTCATTTTAAGGAATTGGAGAGATACTGCCTTTTAGCTTCCAGTATGGCTGCTGAGAAATTTCATGACATTCTGTATCTTATTCATGTATAAGAAACCAGGTTTTTTTATATCAGTCAAAAAACTCAAATAATTCTGAGAATTCCTCTTGGATTGTTTTCTGATTTACTCTACTGAAATTTTTTTTATCTTTATTGTTGAAAATATTACACATATCTGTTTTTTTCTCCAATTGGTCCCCTCCATCCTGCATCCGCTCCACACCCCAGGCCTTCACCACACTATTTTCTGTGTCCATGGATTATGCATATATGCATATAAGTTCCTTGATTCATCTCTCCCTAGCCCCTAAACCCCGCCTTCCCACTGAGATTCATCAGTCTGTTCCATGCTCCTGTGTCTCTGGATCTATTTTGTTCCTCAGTCTGTTTTGTTTAACAGATTCCACATATGAGTGAGATCATGTAAAACTGAATCAGGAAGAATCAGAAAACCTGAATAGGCTAATAACAACTGATGAAATCAAAGCAGCAATAAAAAAAACTCCCAGCAAACAAAAGCCCTGCTCCAGACGGCTTCATAGGGAAGATTTCTAATTCCTTAAGTTGTAGCGTCAGAGAGTTTGCTAAAAACTTTTCTTGCTTTTTGAGGTAGGCCGGCAGTGCTATGAACTTCCCTCTTAGGACTGCTTTCACTGTGTCTTGTAGACTTTGGGTTGTTGTGTGTTCATTTTCATTTGTTTCCAGGAAGTTTTTTATTTCTTTCGTGATCTTATTGGTAACCCATTCATTGTTTAATAACATACTATTTAGCCTCCATGTGATTGAATGTTTTTGAGTGTTTTTTCTGTAGTTGATTTCTAATTTCATGCCCTTGTGATATGAGATGCTTGATATGATTTCAATATTCTTGAACTTGTAGAGACTTGTTTTGTGTCCTAACATGTGGTCTATCTTTGAGAATGACCCGTGTGCACTTGAGAGGAATGTATATTCTGCAGCTTTGGGGTGAAATGTTCTGTAAATATCAATTAAATCTATCTGATCTAGTGTGCCATTTAATCACTGTTTGTGTTGACTTTTTGTCTGGAAGACCTATCCAGTGAAGACAGTGGGGTGTTGAAGTTCATGAATATGACTGTATTGTTGTTGATCTCTCCCTTAAAGTTCTTAAGGTTATTATTGATAGGTTCTTATTTATTGCCATTCTAATTCTTTATGCCTATATTTCTCTATTTCTTCTTACTACAGCAGTCCCTTTAACATTTCTTGCAATGCTTCTATTTCTACTTCTAATTACAGCAGTTCCTTTAACATCTCCTGCGGTGCTGGTTTGGTGGTGATAAACTCCTTCACCCTTTTTTTTTTTTTGTCTGGGAAGCTCTATTTCACCATCTATCTTGAATGATAATCTTACTGGATAGAGTACTCTTGCTTTCAGATCCTTGTTTTGCATTACCTTGAATACTTCATGCCATTCCCTTCTGGCCTGTAAAGTTTCTGATGAGAAATCGGCTGACAGCCTTATGGGAACTCCTTTGGAAGTAACAGATTGCTTTTCTCTTGCTGCCTTTACAATTCTCCCTGTCATGAATTTTTGGCATTTTAATTATGATGTGTCTGGGCACGTGACTCTTTGGATTCTTCCTGCTTGGGGCTCTCTGTGCCTCCTGAACTTGTGTGACTTTTCCTTCACCAGGTTAGGGAAGTTTTCTGGCATTATTTCTTCAAACAGGTTCTCTAACCCTTGCTTACTTTCGACCTCCTCTGGCACTCCTATGGTGTGAATATTGTTCTATTTCATGTTGTCCCACAGCTCCCTTAGACTGTCCTCCTGACCTTTGTTTTTTCTTTTCAGATCTCTGATTGATTTTTTTCTACCAGGTCTTTTAATTCACTGATCCGATCCTCAGCCTCCTCTAATCTGCTATTTATTTCTTCCAATGTATTCTTTATTTCTATGTTGTTCTTCATTTCCTTCATACTTTCCATATCTTTTTCCATGTTGTTGAGCACCCTTACATTCAGTATTCTGAACTCTATATCTGATAGGTTATTTATCTCCATTTCATTTAGCTCTTTTTCTGGGGACTTCTCTGGTTCTTTAATTTGGAACTTTTTTTTTTTTGTCTCCCCATTTTGACTGGGTATTTGGGTTTGTTTCTATGTATTAGGCAGACCTGCTAGGACTCTCAGTGTTTTTGCATGGTCTCTGGTGCAGGCCAATGTCAGACACTGTTTGTGATTGGCCTTGAGTACCCCGTTTGGAGCTACCAACAACCCATCGCTTGAGGTAACCTCTGTTGGGGCTGGGTGCGTTCGGACAGGCGCAAGATGCACACCAAAGTCTCCTTTTCCAACGCCCAGGTCCAGAAGCAGATAAGGCAAAGATTCAAACCACTCTGAGGTCTGCCTCTGCCTGCAGGATGATTAATATGATTCTCTTAAAGAGCCTCAGGCTGTAGACACTCCATAGGGTGGGGCAGCTGATTGTTATCAGTCTCTTAATGAGACTCAGGCTGTAGAAACTCCACGGAGGAGGGCAAGAGGCTTTCCAGAGTGTGGGACAATTGCTTCTCCCTCAGGCAAAAGCTGCTTGGAAGGTGAATGTCTGCCTCTGTAGAATGGGGAAATGACTTTGCACAGGAATCCAAAGGGGTGCCCTCTGAGCTCTATCTCCAGAGTCCACAACCCTAGATTCTCCTCACATAGCTCCAGTCCACTCTGCCTGACCCCAAGATGAGTGGCTGCACATGAAACTTTGTGCATTGGCTCTTTAAGAGGGTGCCTGCATTTCCAGCTGCCTCTCCCTGGCTGATAGAAACCCTGCTGCTTTTCACAGCCAGATGTTGCTCTTGGCTGGGAAGCCCAGACTGGGGTTTAGTCCTCAGAGTCCTCACTGGGAACCTCTCACAGCTGAGATATGCCTCTGGACCTTCAGCTGCTGCCTGTGGGAGCCCAGCCAGCCCTCTCACATCCACACTTCCCACCAGCCTCTATGCAGTCTCCACATTTCCTCCTTAGTTATGAAGTTGCTCTCCAGCTCATCTTCAGTTGCAGTTGATTATTCAGGACGGTTTGTCTATATTTTAGTTGTAAATCCAGATTGGCCCTGGGGAGAGTGTCAGTCTAGCTTTGACTCAGTCTGCCACGATCTTTAATCTCTCAAGTGAATTTTCTCTAATTTATTCAAATCAATTTTCTCCAGTATGACTGGAACTCCTACTATATCACTCATATTTATATTTTAATTTAATTTCTTATCTATCAGATTTCCAGATCCTGCACTTATCTTTGTACTTTACCTTTTGTGTGCTCTCTAGAATTTTATCTTGTGAACTTTATATTGACTTTGTACATTTCTATTATGTTTTTAATTTCCAAGAACTGTTATCTGCTGAATGTCATTTTATACTGTTATTATTTTATAATGAAATATTTTACCTTACCTCTCTAAGAATCTTTTATTTTCCTTTTTCCTTTTTTTGTTTTACCTTCTACATTTTTTGGTGTCTCAACCTTTAAAATTTTTATTTTTTTCATGTCTCTATCTTCCACATTAAATTGTTTCATCATATGTCTGCTGCCCCTTCATATTAGGAATTGAGCATTTACCAGCTTTTACCAACATCTTTGACCACATACAGAGTTTAGGAGCTGTTGTCTTCACAGAGCATAATTTGTCTGTGTTGTATGTTGGAAAAACCCTGCTTTCAATGTGGTCAATTTTGATTCCTTGGCTGATGTGATCCCTCCTGGAATGGTAATTTCAATACACTTCTTAGAATGTGTAAGCCTGGGTCCGAACATCCAGTGTGCTAAGTTGAATTTAGTCACACTAGTTTCAGATTGGTATTTCTCCTCTGTTGTGAGATACAATAGGACATTTTTGCCTGGTGTCCTGTTTCACAGACTCCCCAAAGGAAACAGCCTTCAATTACCTATCAGCCTACAACAGAGACATTGATTAGGGGAAGAAATCAGGATCCCTAAATACTTACAGAACTTATATTTAACCAATTCTCTTCATAGGTCCACTTTTAAAATCACTTCCTAAGGAAGCTGGACATGCAAGTCCAGAAATATTTGAGTAGTACTGCAGCATATATCAAGTTTCCTATAGCTTATCCCAATTGCCAGTTTATGATTCCAATTTTGGGGGCCTAAATCAGCTAGCTACCTCTGATATTCAACTTCCAGTGTTATTACTCATCTCCTATTCTGTTTGTGTTTATATGTTTATGCCATTTAAAAAATCCCTTTCTACTTTAGTGGGGTTTAAGGGCAGTGGTAAACGCATGTGTCCAATATACTTTTATTGCATTTTGTTTGATTTCAATTCCATTTTTAATTGTGGTTATAATGAAATTATTCACCCTGTTTCTAAGTTTGTGTTTCCTTTCATAAATGTAAAAGGTGCCTAAAATATAGCTTTTTATATTATTTTATTTCTTTAAAAAACCTATTATATTAAAAATGTTCATTTTATTTGTGCTATTTAAAGCACTAGTGCATGTAAAATATGCTGAATTAAGCCTATACATTTAAGCCTATCAAATTCAGAATGAAAAGCAACTATTGAGTTCCCCTGTGTGAGAACGAATTCAAAAACACATGCCAACACCTAATTATCTCCATTCCTGCAGTGATATCCCTGGTTTCGTCTAGGTTGTGAAATTCTTGTCTCTCTTTTATTTAAAGATTACATTTAGTTTTATATCTGAACCCTTCTAATTACTTCCAATTATTTTGCTCTACTACATTAGAAAATATGGTTAGTAAATATTAATCGTAGTAGGAGTGACATTTATTGATTGCTTATTTTCTCCACATGTTATGCTAAGTTATTTCCATTTATAAACTTATTTGACCTGTGAAATAATTGTAATAGTTAGATATTATTTTCCTTATTGGCTTTTTAGAGATGAAAATGTAAACACAGGAAGATTTTTTTACTCCCCAAGTTAATGTGGCTATGGACTGACAGACTGGGATTTCAAACCATGGCAGCTGGGACTATATGTTATCTCTCTCTCTCTCTTTCAATCCCTCTCTTATTGATGATTCTTTGGAGTGGGGTGGCTGCAAGAGAAGTATTATTTGTCTTTCCCAAAGCATGTTCCCCCTTCAGGTATTCCCTTTGCCACAGAAGAGTCTTCATAGAATCCTTCAAAGGTTTTTTAACTACTTTATGTGATAGAGCTCTACTTTAGTTGCACAATTGCCTTAAGTTGTGTCCAGNCAGTTGCATAATTGCCTTAAGTTGTGTCCAGTGTTGTATTGCAACATGCAGGTATTTTCCTGAGCTGCCATAAAGGTTGGGGTCAAATCTTAGTTTCATTAAAAATGAAACTTTTGTCTCTACATATGATTAAGTTTCATCATTTTTATGGATTTCTGAAACAACCATTTTATTAATTGTACTGGAACCAATACCTTTGCCAAAATAAATAAAAGCAAATTAGAGCAACAATGAGAGGCAGTTTATCGTAAATTAAATTCCCGTTTTATTCATTGCTATTTGTTTGGCTTCTCTTTAACATGAGATCCAATTTGATGAGAACATGTGATTTATTTAACCACTAACGGTAAAATGAAAAATTGTATAAATATTCTTAAGGAGGAAGGTTAAAAAGGAAGTCAAAAAACCTTTGAAAATAATGTCTACTTTTACATGCAAGTATTTATAAGCAAAGTGTTAGTTTTAAAAAATTTGTCACATTGCCCTAGCCCGTTGCCTCAGTGGTTAGAGTATCAGCCATCGGACTGAAGAGTCCTTGGTTTGATTCTGGCCAAGGGCACATACCTCAGTTGTAGGCTTGATCCCCGCCCTGGACGTGCCTGTGCTAGAGGCAACCAGTTGATGTATCTCTCTCACATCGATGTCTCCCAACCCCCCACTTCTACTCTCTCTGGAAAGCAATGGAAAAAATATCCGTTGGTGAACATTAAAAAAAAAATGGCACATTCATGAAGTCCATGTATTGGTTAAATAAAATTATAGATATACAAAATATGATATAATTTTTTAAGTATATAAATTTTAAGTTTATGCATAAATATATAAAATTGTATAACAGAGTATATATCAAAATGATTGCAGTGCATTCCACAATGACTTTTACCTCTAGGCAATGGCATTGTGGCCCATTCTTACTTTTCTTATTTATATATATATTTAATATTTTTATCAATGTTAACCAATATTATTTAAAATATGTGCAAAAGTAATATAATAATTAAATTGGACTTTATTAAATTTAAATAATTAAATGTTTAAACTGCATGTCCCCTTAAGAGCAAAAAGAAAATTTCAAAGAAACATACATAGGTCATTTTTTGTTTAAAACAATGTATACATTTATAAATCCACATTTATAAGTAGCTATGTTTAAAGAATTGGATCAAAATTCTAAAAGCACTATCTCTAGATAATGATATTTGGCACAACATCTTGAATTTTTTCTGCTTTTAAATTTTCTGTCAAAATACTACTTTTTTACAAAGATAAAATAAGTATTGGCAAGGAAAATATTGAAAAAGTAATAATCAGCAAATTTGAGTATCATTCTATTAGTAAGATGCAAATTCAGTAACAATACTTGCAAATAGGGAAATGTAAGAATGTGTGTTTATATCTATTACTTTTTCTTTTTTTGGCTTTTGAAAAAAAGCATTTATTTCAAAGTACAACACAAAGTTGTATTTTTAAGAAATACACATTCAATCTTGTATCTCAAGACTTGGCTATGTGCATTTCAGTTTTTTTAAATAAATTCAGGAATAAAAACGTTATATACCTCAGGTTCAAACAGCACAGAAAATGCATATGGTCTTATCTGAATGTTTTTACATTCATTCACTATTCTTCAAGTTGACTTACATTTCATTTCTAAATTTTATATGAATTAACATATTTATATATTTACACAATATTTAAAATAAATATCTTATAAGAGAAGATTTTAATATAATTAATATCAGTTTGTTTGTTTTCCAAATGTAACAAATTTCAATGTAAGTTTATCAAAAGTAGCAAAAATGGAGATTTCAGAAAATGGTTGCTTACTTCTGACTTCACCAGAATCCTGTAGGCCTGATCTCCCAACTGAATCATAGGATAATTGTCTTGTAAGGGGAGAAAATCAACTTTGTTATTCTTTATTTGATAAAGAACATGCTCATACTTAGCTGCAGATTCCAATGGTTCAATCCCATAACTGATATTCTCCAATTGCAATAATCCCCTGAATAAGCATATAAAAAGACATATGGTAATTAATATACTTTTCGCACTGAGAAATATAAATCAATGCTAAATAAAAACATTTTATAGAAATTTGACAGTGGTCTTTAAGGTCTAATTTAATCTAAGAATCATCCCATTTTACTCAAATTAACTTTCAACTCAATTTTATACCTCCTGTCTATTATAGCATTTACAAGTCACTATGGTTCTAGTATGGCTAATACATATGAATATTATTTATACTAGTGGACCTTTTCTAAATAAATTTTATGACAGTAAGCCTAGGATAGAGACAACTAAATATAAAAAATGTAACAGGAGGATGAGGAAAAGAAAATATCTGAGAAGAAATATAATCAAACCTGTATTTTCTTTGCTTTCACTCTATCATTCAAGGAATTTCTAAAAATTAAGGGGCTACACAAGATTGTCAATCATGCACATATCTGGAATATGCCATTACCTGAGTCCAGAACAGGTGTTAAGTGTCACAGCTGATTTTGGAATCTCTGCAGCATATCCTTGATAAAAGCAGTGTCCCTAAACAGGAGTACATAAAGGTACATTCATGAATGATTTGTAAATAAAGTTTTGGTTTTTATACTCACTTCGTAGACATTATGAAACATGCACATTTAGCCATTAACCAATATTATTCACCAGATATCCCATTTCCTTTTGATCTACCTACAATTTCTTTCTCTTAACCCTCTTCTGCCTATGAATCCCCCCAAATAGTCCTTGCTATAATTCTAAATTCTATAATTGTGAAAGAGGCTTTTAGAATCCAAGGACATATAAAGAGCTTCCCAGATAAGAAAAAGCTAAAGGAGTTTGTCAACACCAAACCAGTGTTACATGAAATGTAATACGTGAAAGTAATACTTCTTCTTTAAAAAGAAGAAAAGAAAGAAAAATAATATGAACAATAAAATGGCAATAAATATTTATCTATCAATTGAATCTAGAAAATAAAATAAGCAAACAAGCAGAACAGAAACAGAAAAAATAAAAGCTAATGTAAGCTATAAGATTTAATTTAATAGTGATGTATCAATATTGGCTTATAAATAGTAACTCAAATACCATACTAATACAAGATATTAATAATAGGGTAACTAAGAAGTTCGGAGGGTGAAGGGGAACTCTGTACTTTCCACTTCATCTTTCTTAAAGCTAATATTGCTGAAACTAATAAGGTCTATTACTTTTTTAAAAGCTATTATGGAGGAAATAAAAAAACAAGCCATGGACTAGATGAAATGGTTCACAATACACATATTTTATTTCATTATATATTTTTAATTTAAATTTTATTTTTCAATTACAGTTTATATTAATATTATTTTGTATCAGTATCAGTGAAGAGCATAGTAGTTATACTTTACAATGTGTTTCCCTTGTTGTTTTCAGTACCCACCTGGCACCATACATAGCTTTTGCAATATTATTGACTATATTTTCTATGCTGTATCCTACATATCTGTTATTATTCTGTAATTACCAATTTGTGCATATTAATACCTTCACCTTTTCTGCCCAGTATCACAAACCCTCCTCTCCTCTGGAAAGCATCAGTCTGTTCTGTATTTATGTCTGTTTTGTATATAGGTACAGTGCATACATTTTTAAAAAGAATTTGCATCAAAGATATAAAAACAGATAATACAACTCAGTAATAAAAAGATATATAACCCAATTAAAAGTGATTAAGACTTTTTGAAAATAAAAACTTACTATAAAGCTACAATAATCAAAACAGTGTGGTACTGTATTAGGAGAGATATATAGACCAATGCAATAGATTAAGAGTGAAGAAATAAACTCATACATCTATAGTTAATAGATATTTTACAAAACTTCTGAGATTATTCAATGTAGACAGAAGAGTCTTGTCAACCAATTGTGCTAGGCAAACTGAATATCTGTATGCAAAAGATAATATCAGATCATGACTTCACATTATATACAAAAATTAAGTCCAAATGGATCAAACATCCAAATATAACAGCTGTAACTATAAAACTCTTACAAGAAATTATAGGGGTAAATCTTCAAAAATTTGAATATGGCAATGGGTAATCATTTCTGAGATCTGACACCGAAAGCACAAACAACAAAAAATAAACTGGAGTTCCTTAAAATTAGAAACAAGTATGCACATCAAAGGCCATTGTCTAGAAAGAGGCAACACAAGAAATGGGAGAAAATATTTGCAAATCGTATAACTGATAAGGGTCTAGTGTCCAACTTAACATCAAAAAGACAAATAACATAGTCAAAAACATGCAGAAGACTTAAGTCAACATTCCTCCAAAGTACATATGAAAATGGCCAACAGAAAGACTTGAAAAGATATCAAACATCAATCATTAGGAAAATGCAAGTAAAAACCAAAGTGAGTTACCACTTCATATTCACTGCACTAATCAATTAAAATGAAAAATAGTATTTTGCTTAGCATACTACTTTCCAGGTCCCTCCATGCTGTCTCAAAGGATAAGAGATACTTCCTTTTTACAGCTGCACAGTACTCCATTGTGTAAATGCACAACAGCTTTTTTATATGCTCATCCACTGATGAGCGCTTGGGCTGTTTCCACATATTAGCTGTTGTCAAGTATGCTGCTATGAACATAGGGGTGCGTATATTCTATCTGGTGTTTCAGTCTTCTTAGGATAAATTCCTAAAAGTGGGATCAATGGGTCAAAAGGCAGTTCCCCAGTCAGAGAAAGACAGATATCAGATGATCTCACTTATATGTGGAATCTAATGAACAAAATAAACTGACCAAAAAAAAATACATCCAGAGACATGGAAGCATGCAACAGACTGATGATTCTCAGAAGGAAGGGAGCAGGGGGAAAGTGGGAAGAGATTAACCAAAGAATTTATATGCATATGATGGACACAGACAATGGTGCAGTGAAGTCCTGGGGAGAGGAAGGGAGTGGGAAGGAGGAGGTCAATGGGGAAAAAAAGGGGGACATCTGTAATACTTTCAACAATAAAGATACATTTAAAAAAAGAAAAATCATTAGTAGTGCTTGGAACTCTTGAACATTGCAGAAGGGAATATTAAATGCAACTGGTTTAGAAAAAAGTTTGGAGGTTCCTCATAAAGACAAACTTAGAATAACCATATGATCCAGAAATTCTATTTCTAAGCATATACCCAAGGAATTGAAAGCATGCTTTCTAATAAAAATTTGTACTCAAGTGTTTATATCAATACTGGCCTAAATAAATGAGTGAATGAATGAATGAATGAATAAATAAATTAATTAATTAATAAAATAAAATATTTTAGCATAAGCTTTCTTATGTTTTCTTCCTCACTGGCATTTCTCTTTTAAAATTTTATACTTATTGTTGAAAGTATTACAAATGTCCTCCCTTTTCCCCCATTGATCCCTTCCCCCCTTCACTTGTCACCAGGCCTTCACCACACTATTGTGTGTCCATGTGTTATGCATATACGCACGTAAGTTTTTAAGTTAATTTCTCCCCACCCACTCACACCTGCCTTCCCTCTGAGATTCATCAGTCTGTTCCATGCTTCTATGTCTCTGGATCTATCTTGTTCATTGGTTTACTTTGTTCATTAGGTTCCACATATGAGTAACATCATGTGATACTTGTCTTTCTACAACTAGCATATTTTGCTTAGCATAATACTCTCCAGGACCCACCATGCTGTCTCAAAGGGGAAGGGATCCCTCGTTTTTACAGATGTATAGTATTCCAAGGTATAAATGTCTGAGAAGATTCTTGATATGATTTCAATCTTCTTGAATTTGTAGGCTTGTTTTGTGTCCTCATGTGTTGTCTGTCCTTGAGAATGTCCCATCTTCATTTGAGGAGAATGCATATTCTGCAGCTTTGGGGTGAAATGTTTTGTGAATACGAATTTAATTCATCTGATCTAGTTTGTCATTTAGAATCACTGTATCCTTGTTGATTTTATGTCTGGAATATCCATCCAGTAAAGTCAGTGGGGTGTTAAAGTCCCCTACTGTGACTGTATTGCTGTCTATCTCTCCTTTAAGCCCTCCAGAGTTTTCTGTGGGGTTTTTTTTTTCTTAGGCCTATGTGAAACTTTTGATCAGAAGTGGGTCTCTTGTAAACAACATTTGTTTGGGTCTTGTTTTTTTATCCATTCAGCTACCCTATGTTTTGATTGGGGCATTTAATCCATTTATATTTAAGGTTATTATAGATGGATACTTATCTATTGCAATTTCATTCCTTTATCCCTGTGTTTCACATTCTATTTCAACTTGTTTTTACAGCAGTCCCTTTAATATTTCTTGTAAAGCTGGTTTGGTGGTGATAAACTCCTTTATCCTTTTTTTGTCTGGGAAGCTCTTTATTTCACCATCTATTTTAAATGATAGCCTTGCTGGACAGAGTAGTCTTGGTTTCACATCCTTGCTTTTCATTACCTTGAATACTTCATGCCATTCCCTTCTGACCTGAAGAGTTTCTGATGAGAAGTCAGATGACAACCTTATGGGGGCTCCTTTGTAGGTTAACATATTGCTTTTCTCTTACTGCCTTTAAGATTCTTTCTCTTTAATTTTTGGCATTCTAATTATGATATGTCTGGGCGTGGGCCTCTTTGGATTCTTGCTTGGGACTCCCTGTGCCTCCTGAACTTGTGTGACTTTTTCCTTCACCAGGTTAGGGAAGTTTCCTGCCATTATTTCTTCAAACAGGTTCTTGAACCTTTGCTTCCTTTCTACATTTTCTGGCACTCCGATGATGTGAATATTGTTACAATTCATGTTGTCCCACAGGTCCCTTAAGATGTCCTCCTGTTTTTTAATTTTTTTTTTCTTTTTGGTTCTCTAATTGGGTTATTTTTTCTACCCTGTCTTCTCATTTGCTGACCTGATTCTCAGCTTCCACTACTCTGCTGTTTATTCCTTCCAATTTTTTTTTTTACTATGTCATTCTTAATTTCCTTCAGCATTTCCATTCCTTTTCTTATACTGTTCAGCGTCCTTATGATCAGTATTCTGAACTCTGTATCTGGAGAATTTTTTTGTTCTTTCATTTTGGGCTTGTTTTTGTGTCTCCCCATTTGGCTGCCTGTTTGTATTTGTTTCTATGCATTAGGTAGATCTGCTAGGACTACCAGTCTTTTGGATGGTCTCTGGTGCAGGGCAACTCAGAAGCTGATTGTGACTGGCTTGAATATTTCTGCACTCCACAGCTTGTGGTTGCTCTGGTAGGGCTGACTGTGTTTGGGCAACACCAAGATACGCTCCAAGGCCTACTTTTCCAAACCCAGAGTCCAGAAGCAAATCAGGACTCTTAGCTGCATTTCTTCAATGTATGATCTATAACTGCTAACTGCATGTAATTAACATTAGTTTGATTTCAAATGTGAACATCTCACTTGGTTTTTCTAAGGTGCTCAAAAGTACCTTAATTGACATTTCCTAATAATTTTTGTCTTTAGTATTTCACCTTTTGATCATCCTTAGTTCAAGTTCTCATCTCTACGGACTTTCATAGCAATAATCTCCCCAGG